CCAGTACTCAATTTTTGCTGTTATCATTGCATGTTTTTTACCAAAGCTCATATTGCAATTTTTGTTGTTGTTATCGCTTTTCTCTGGCACTCCTTATTACTGGTTCCCATATTGTATTCATTTCTATGCTTGGAGAGAAAAAGGAGATACCGCCTTCTGTGGGATCAGGTTGAGATCATAGACAAAAAACACCATTGAAAAATTTGTAAACTTAAGGAATCAGCACATATGCTAGGCCACAAAAATCTCCTGAGCCAACCAAGCATAGAAATGAATACAATATGGGAACCAGTAATAAGAAGGCCGTAGCATACAATGGCTGAAACGTTGTAATAAATATGGCGACAAAGTTGAGGACAATAGTCCAAATAATTTAAATAGTATAAATAATACCTCATCTCAGAAATATAGACAGATACTGGAGTAAAAGCATGTGTTTGTAAACTAAATGAAGTTTGCTTATTTCAAATCCTTTCTCAGAATTATTATAGAATGTCAAGATTTTGTGCTATGCATAATCCCATTATTTGGGAAACTTTGATATTAATTACACTGGGCAGAACTTTTTATCTACTACTAAATGATAATAGATAATAAATAAAATTAAGTACAACACTTATTTTGAATGTCTTCAGAATTGTTCCTGGCATATCAAGTTTTTGTGATATGGTCACAGTGTATTTATATTCAAATTAATATTATATTAATTGTATATTAGTATTGAATCATTAGAAATTAGATGCTGCACAAGCGTCCTATGCCTCTTCTATGTAGACGACATCACAAATGATGCATCAGTTAAAAAACAAGCCTATTGGAAGACTCCATCTGCATTACCCAAGAATTTGAAATGGTATAGCCCCATTACTACAGCCAACAATCTTCTATTACCATCCTACGAGGTATCACCTTAGGCAAAAAGAAGAAAAGTGAGAGAGATGAAAAAATAGACTGACAATATCACTGAGTGGACTGGAAGATCATTCACAGAAACACAGACATTGGCATATAGCTAAAACATATGGTGGGAGATGACCAAGTGCTCAGTTGCACAGCAACCATACCTGGCCATGTTATCAAACTAAAGTTTCAGGTGTTTTTCATTCATTTTGCCTAGTTTCTTACTTTTATTGTTTAGAATCTTCTTTTAATCCTCATTAATATGATTTTCATTTATTAAATTCAATCTTTTGTAGAAATAATTTAAAATTTAGTACCATATTTGAAATTATTATCATTTTTGATTATTTATATATATATATATATATATATATATATATATATATATATATATATATATACACACACACACATATACACACACACACACTTGGATTATTATAAGTGGAAACAAGAAACATCAGTGTCAATAAAATTTATCTACTCACACAGAAAGATCATGTACAAACTCAAAAAAATCATTCATTCATTTTCATAACTTGAAATCCAGTCATTTTCTGTTACTTCCTTATTTTTCTTTTTTCAAATGACTGCTAGAAAACTTAAATTCCCAATTATTATTGGAAGAAAGCTATTAAAAACAATTAAACAATCTTATTTCAGTCATCATCAAGACGTGAATGAGCATTCCAAGTGTTGCAAGTAAAAATAAGGAGAAAAGCACAGATTCTTAAAACAAAGATTCTCATTTTCATAAAACAAAAAGTTCCTTATATAAAAGCATTAACTTTCTGAACAAATGTGTGTTTGGGATTTTACCAGTCAATATGACAAATGACAGTCAAGTACCTTAATTATCCTATTTAAATGATTTCAACTGAAATATTTAAAATTCTCAGTTTCAATATTGCCAACAAAAAATTCAAGTACTTTTATCACATTCAGAGAATATTATTTTATTGATGCAAATACAATCTACACACCAATATCTTTTGTAAAATAGCTGGTAAATCATTATCCTCAAAATTCATCTTTTAGATTGAAATGTGATGACATCAAATGATTGATAATCTCATACAGATCAGAGCAATGAATTTTCATTGAATTCACTATAGGATTCATGTTGCTGTTGGTGTGTCAGAATGTTGTTTTATAATTCTTTTTTATCCATGCTTGACCTGCCTTTAGCCAGTAGTTTCAAACTCCATACAGACTGCAGCTGAATCCAATTCATTAGTGAACGGCAATGATACTAGCAAAGAAAAGTGTTGCACAATTGGAATAATGATCTCATATTTTGTACAGACAGCAAGCAACATGGTTTCATTCTCATTTTACTTTCACTTTATTTTTCACCCCACAATTCAAATAATACAGTATACTCATTCACTTGTAGAATGCATTTGGCTTGAACTGTTTTTGTTTTCCTGGGCCACATTGGAGGCAAAGAAAACCAGGAATAGGCAGGAAACAGTGAAAACTCTAAAGAAAAGACCAGCTGTTAACAGATACATGACATATTCTCTGTCAGCATTACAATAGAGTGCAAGATACAGATTCAAATTCTTCATTTCTGGAACAGAATAAACCATTTCCTATTAGAAAAAGAGAAATAAGCACTGAAGAGGAAATTAGTGCCCATGACCAGCTGCCATTGGCTTTTATGAAAGTCCCACCAAGTGAAAGCAAAATTATGAATAAAATTTCAATGTAGAACATCTGATATAATGTGTAAGAATTTCACAATAAGTTGTTATAGTAAGTTTACAAGTCTGAAAGTATTGGATGCTGGAGACATATCCATTTGAAAAATAAAAGAAAAATTAAAATTTAATCTAATAATGTGTTACTGAGATATTTACAGAAATGTTATCTACCATGAATGCATGTGCATTTTTTTCTATAACATGCCTGGACTGATTTTGTGCCAACTTTGGATCTGCTCATAGATAAAAAAAAATAATTTTTAAAAATATATTTGTAGATAATAAATAATTGATTAACAGAGAAGAAAGCATTGTAGATTTATATATTTTCATATTTATTCACACCATCTTCAGAACAGTGTTAACAAAATCAATTACACACTTTTATTTGTTAATCAAATATTGCTTATCTTCAAGTGTTTTTCATAGTTCTCTTAGCCTTTATATTTTAAAAGTATCTGTTAGAATAAAGTTCTTGCATTTGCATATTTTCAACTCTGTTCACTTTTGCATAAATATGATTAGAAAAGGCATGAATCTATTTCTTCTCTCCCCAACTAGGGGTTAAAAAGCAGAGTAGAATAGACCTGTAGCATTAGAAAAAAATTATTAAGTTCTGTAAATTTTGATAGCACTTTTCTCCAAAATTTCTGTATGAATTTTCTTGACTATTTAATTATTCATCACATACATAAAAATCCAAAGTGGAATGACTTAGCAAAAAAAACTACCCAGCAGCCATTCTCCAAGTTTGTGATATTCAACCAATGAAAATCAATGGTGCCAATTTCAAGTTCTTGGAAACTAGAAAACTCTTTCTTTTCCACCCATTGCTCTGTAGGAGTCAGACCATCAAAGTAGCAGTAGTCATAACCCTGTATACAGAGAAAAACTTTAGGAACACACTCTTACACAAAGAACAATCACAGAGTGACTGTACCAAGCAAGTCTAAATCAGACCACTTTTACTAGCAATTTGTATAAACATACACAAGGCTACCATATATATACACTATCTTATCAGAGACAGTATTTGCTCTCACTAAATAAATCCTCATTGTTTTTTAAACTCTGTTCTTTCTTTATTAATTTCAGCAAAAATCCAAGCTCACTTTGTTTATTTCACCTTTTCTTGCTTCCATTATTGCTTTCAGCCCACCCATCTCTCTCTCTCTATTTAATTTATGAGTTGCTGATTGCCTAATGTTGGTTATAATTGACAAGTGACTCTTCCATTAAGAAGCCATTCTTTATCATAGCAGAAGTTACTTTCTCTCACTGTCTGCTAACTAAAAGTTAGTTGCTATTATCAACTAATTTCCAGCCACAACACTATTAATTAATATTTTTGCAAGCAAATATATGCTTTATGTATAGACAAATCTTTCAGAATGTCAAACAAGCTCCAGAATAAGAGCTACTTGTAAAGCCTACCATAACTACAAGCTATGAATATTTATAATGAAATTCTTAAGTTAATTACAATAATTTTTCTTACACTTTAGAAAATTTTCTTTTGTGGCCAATTGAGCATAGTTTGGAAATTGAATGATATTGTGGTTATCTCCCTTATCTACCTTGGTTGTCTTGGAGATGAGAAAGAAAATCAAGCATTATAACTTGGCTAGGTTCTAAGAGTGTTTTCTGCATTCTCCATTAGACCATCTTACATGACCAATGATCCATGTCAGTAGATAACATCCACTAGCAAATGAAATTTTGTCTTTTCTCATCTTGGTAAGTATTGGTAACAAAATTGCATGCATTTGTTTTTATTGCAGTCATGATGCCTAGTAATATTTACTCCTCCATGACATGAAAGAAATAAAATGCAAGTGCAAATAGATATTGAGATATTGTTTTATTTTAGTTCCAATAAATTCACTTGAAGTAATATGACATTTCATAAATTATTTTATAAGATGATTCTTTCTTTCAGCAAATCTTGACATGATATTTTTTACTACTTTAGCCTATTTTCAACATGGTCATATGATAGAATTTGCTTTTCTGCTTAGAAAATAAGTCTATTTCATCTTTGATAGTCAGACCAATAATCAACATTGTTATATTAAACATTTAGTAGCAAGAGAAAGGAATAATGAGCATTAGATTTGAACAATGGTTATTATTGGCATGTTCTACAGAGATGTTGAAGGATGAGTAGAATGTCAATTCCAGTGGCCAGCCATCAGGATAGTGGCCAGGTTTAAGGGTAGTGCTGGGAGTTGACCTAATTCTTGTGTGGGTTTGGTGTAAGGTCACAGTTGGTTGGTAGGCCTGCTCTATGGAACAGGGGTGACATCGGATTGGCACAGTTCTTAGGCCTGTTCTATGGAACAGCCTCACAAGTGTTGGTGGACTGGCATCACAGTGGTGGGTCAAGTGGGTTGCATGCTTGAAGAGTCAGAATCACTGCTTGTGGACTCAGAGTCACCTGGTTGCAGAGTCAGAGTCATTGCTTGCATCGTCAGAGTCATTTACTTGCAGAATCAGAATTGCTTCCTTGCAGAGTCAGTCACTTGTTTTGTGGAGTTGGAGTTGCTTGGTTGCAAAGTTGAAGTCACTGCTTGTGGAGTTGGAGTCGATTGTGGAGTATGAGTCACTGCTTGTGGAGTCAGAGTCACTTCCTTGCGGAGTTGGATTTGCCAGAGTGATGGCATTGGCAATGAGGAAGGCTTGTAGCTTAGTGGTGCCAACATGGAGATGTTATCAAATTTGTATTTGCCAAGGTGACAGTGTTGTTGACAATGAAAGCTTGTAGCTGGGTGGAGTCGAAGTTGAGATGTTGTCCTGTCGGTATTTGCTAAAGTCACATCATCGTTAAGGATGAAGGCTTGTAGCTGGGTGGTGTTGAAGCTGGATAGTCGGCCACTTATCGCTGGTGTTTGTCGAGGTGACAATGTCAAGATGTTATCAACACAAATCTGGATAGTCAAGGTGGTTAGTCAAGCCTGGGAGTGGTAACTGTCATTGAGAGGTGTGGTCAAGTTGAGAGACACTGTGAAAAAAACACTTTTTTACTTTATTCCAAAGTAGACATAACAAATATACTTCTTTAACAACATCTTTTTTTTTAAGTTTCATTTCTGTTTTTCACTGTATACCAAAAAAAATCTAATCTATTCACACAATTTGTAGATACTCTAATATAACTTTGTTAAAAACATTTTTATATAGAGATAGGTTGGTTTTCATCCAGTCCATTTGATTTTGTGTATATGCAAAAACTGAAAAGGAGTCCTACTACGATGATCTCTTTTACAAGAATCAAAAAATTGATCTAAACAAATATTTCTCTCATTTAAACACACTGGAAGCAGCAATCAACAAAAGTCATCTGGTATTAGTTCATAGAAAGGGCAGAATATTCTGTCAGCATAACATTAGACTGAATCATTTTTAGTGACCATAAAACAATTATTCCAGTTTGGCTTGGAAATTTTCACTCATATATTGGATTTAGCATTCAATTATCCTTTATTTTTTCTGGAATTCTGTTAATGAACAAATGCCAACTCCTTGGAAGGCTTTAAAAATTACTTAGAACAGTTCTTTGCTGGGAAAGAAAAAAAAACTTGTGAGATGAAAATATAACGTTGGCTTAAATATGGTAGAAAAGAGCAAAATAACAAAATTAATATGCCCTTTATTTTTACTTTATAAAATTGAATTAACTTTTTCAGTCACCCAATAGTGATTAACAAAAAAAGAGTTTTGACTCATTTATTTTGCTACTTTAATAACTGTTTCAACAATTCCAAATATTATATTAAAGAACTATGTTATCTGAGTTTTCATTAAAAAATCTTTTGGTTAAAATAAATCTCTAAATGACATGATATACCTTCATTCTACATAAATATAATATTGTGCCATAAACAAAACATGCATTATTAGTACAATAAAACATTAATTCTACTTGAAAATAAAAATTATTTCATACACACATATATGCACAACATATATAAGCATATTGACTGTAAGACTGCGCTACATACATATGCATGTTTCATTATCTAATCTGTTTAGCTTTTAACTTTAGAAGTGCTTTTTGAGTTTTTTTCTAACAATAATTCAGTCATCTCAGAAAATTATGGAAATAAAAAATTATTTGTTGAAATGTTTCAATTTTACTATTATTCACATACTACAATTTCTAATTAAATAAAGATAAAGATGTTCTTTTGCACTGTCTTACGAATCTATCTTAGTATGTCTGATAATTCTATATTGACACCATCCATATCTAAATACCTCTGGACACTAAAAAGGGTGGTTTTCTCAAGTGAATTCTTATACAGTTTTATCTGTTTCTTTATCTACATCTACCTGGTGTAACTGGTTCAAGCCATCATCTCTTTTTTTTTTTTTTTACATTTAATAAACTTGTAAATTACCTATTGGTTTCTATTTGGTAATACTGTTACTAATTTCAGGATGCTTCTCAAAGTCTCTGTTATGAAAAACTGTTTCTTTACTTTTTTTTTATCACATTTCTTTTTTAACATTGACATTTTTATGAGTTTCTTTTACACCCACTTCCAACACCAATTATTTTTTTACATGCATCAGTTTTTTTAATTTGTTTCTATTATTGCTGAGTTTCTTAGTTTCCAAACATTTTCTATAGAATCCAAGTTTTCAGAATGTATATGGCACATAACTGTTTTGTTCTGTTAGGAAGTTGGGCAAAAAATATATTTCTACAATGTTTACTAGAGATTTTTTCTTTCTCTATGATTTTATTTCTTCTGTGGAGGTTAATTTCTGTTTCAGACACACTTAATGTGAAGTTACTCAGCAAAGACAGTTATAACACATAATTCTGAAAATTATTTCATTTTGTTAGTATGTATGTTTTTCTCTTAGTAACATAGTCCATGACAACAGAGGAGAAAAACCTAAGATGCATAAAAGCATGGTAAGATCAACAATGAGCACAATGAGCAGGAACAAAGCAGCAAGACCACATCGTAATGTAACAGTGATGATATCAACTTTAGACAATTTGGGGACTGATAGAATTAATGAAATAATAAATAAAATATATAAAAACAGCAAAATAGTGGCTTTCTTCAAAACACTGGAACAAGAAATGCTATTTTTCATCAAAATGCTATTATAGCAGGCATTAGAAATACAGAAAAAACTGTACCTATGGTTCATAAATTATACAAAAGCATTTGATAATGTTCAACATGAAAACCTACTTGAAATATTAGAAAAGCTTGATTTAAGTTATTTGAAACTTCTACTGGGAACAAATAGCTTGTATGCAGATATGGAATGAACCAGTAAATACACAAAACTAGAAAGAGGATGCATTTTCTCACCAAATTTATTCAACCTATATAGCAAGAACTAGAATACCTACCAGAATTTATCATTGGCAGACATATTCTTACCAATGCATCTATAAAACAGTGTTGATATCAGACTCACAAAGGAAACTGAAAGAACTCTTACACTAGGTGTAGTCATATAAAACAAGAATAAAAGACAAAATGCTTGGTAGTCAGCAAAAGAGACATTTCAAAGTATGAACTATGTATTGAGGACGTCAAAATCAAGCAAGTACAGAAATTTGGGAAGGAAGGGTTATAACAGATGATGGAAAATGTGGTAGGGAATCGATTACATAGGAATAGTGAAAGTTGTTTTTCAGGATATAAGCAAAATATTAAGGTATAAGAAAATATTGTCAGAAAGCAAGAAAAGTGTTGAACTGCAGTGCAATATCTAACCTCCCCAATAGCAGTGAATGTTGGAAAATTTCCTCACAGATTTAATTTTAGTTTCCATTTTCTTTAAAACTTCCTCATTACTTGCATAATCTGTCTATGGGATTCTCAGCATCTGTCTGTAGAATTACATCTTTGTTTCTTTAAGTCTCTTCTTCATCTTCATATAAAATAGATCTGACACAGCAGTTCAACACATTTCTCTTTGTTAGCTAAGAAGATAGGAAATAGTTCTGCTTTGAATGTCAGATCAGTTTTTGGCATATAATTCAATTGTATTTTATATTTGCTTCTGATCATATAAAATTATATATTATGATTAAAATATTTAACTATTGTGCCAAAAATGTGATGTCATCCAAAAAGAAAATGGAATTGAATCTCACCCAATTTGAATAATCTTTAAGCAAATTCACTCCATGTGAAGAGAATCATTTAATAACTGTGTTAATGAAATTAAGGCATCAAGCTATGGAATAATTGTAACAAGCTAATCTAGTTGACCATTGCTGCCCAGAAGTTAGATCAGTCCTACCTGGCTGTTGCACAATTGTGGCTTTGTACTAAAATAACCTTTGTAAATAATAATAGTATTTTTTCTTTCTAATTTGAGCTTCTACAAAGATATTTTAAAAAAGCACTTACAACACTAAAATGATCATTTTTATTCATAAATTTAATCTATTAACAGGAAGTGAGAGTAATATAACCAAAACATTATCATCTTTTGGTTCCTAAAGTGAGTCTGAATTTAGTTTCACCTTTGATCCTGAGTCAAGTTCTGTCTCTAAAAGCCATGTATCCCCACAGTCTTAGAATACCACAGATATTTTTAAAAAGCAGCAACATCATAATGCAACCATTTCCCACATAAGTATTGTTTATAGTGGCCATAAAATAGTTTATGATCACAAATCACAAGTTTTATTTGCTACATGAATTAGATTGCATCATTTTTTTTCTATTTGCTGCTTTTATTCTATTCACTTAATATAATCTTTATGCACTCATAAACCATTTTCCCCTTTGAGTGTATCATGTGTGCATGGTGTGCACACACATGCACACCAACATATATGATGTGTGTGTATATACACACACACACATATATATATAATCTATTTGTGTGTGAAGGAAAACAAACACATACAGTATATATACATATGTATTTTGATGCAAATATGATTATACCTATATAAAAGTACTTGTGTATGAGTCTGTTATTGCTTAGAGATATGTGTATGTATTAATACATTTGTTCATATATGTATATGAAGTTATATAAACCATATATATGTGCATATCTATACATGCATGCAATGTAAAGATGTGCATATATATATATATATATATATATATATATATATATATATATATATATATATATATCTGTGTTTTGTGTGTGTCTGTGTGTGGATACTGAAGTCAAAACTAAGATAGGAAATAGTTGAATTTGAACACAATTTTCTTGGTGTTAACCTGTATCTCCTTTTATATTTTTTATATTTACATACTCTGATATTGAACATGTTTATCCATAAATATAGCATGTCTTAAAACTATATTTTTATTATATATATATATATATATATATATATATATATATATGCTAAGAGTACCATTGACAGAACATAAAAGTAACAAAGAGGTTTAATAAAAAATGTGAAGAACAAGGAATATTGACAATAAGAAAGAGTTGAAATTTCTATGACAAATGATGAGGAAATAGGACCTGGAGAATTTAATATTCACATGATATGGTGAAGGCAAAAGTAGCAGAAGTAACCAACTTAAAGATTTGGGATGGCAGAAGAACAGCAAAGAGGAATAGTAAAGAGTCAAAAGTTACTAAAAATAATAAAAAAAAGAGGATGTTGTGGAGAGTCATGATTGTCTATGTCCTGTAGGGACTCAGGCATCCCTCAATTAATGTGCATTTGATTAATGTGCTTTTGATTAGTGTGCTAAAATTTTTATCTACCAAAATTCAATTAGTGCATACATAATATTCACTTAGTGCAGTAATACATTCTTCAGTTTAACCATAGCAATTGAATTTTTTTTTATAGTTACCAATGTACACATTAGCCACACTAAGGGATTACTGTACATTGCATAAAAAGATATAAGCAGACTGCATATATTAGTATGAATGTATGTTAAGTTTTTATAAACCAGCATGAAAGTTTCAATCTCAACAGATTGATTCATAGCTACATTTAATAAATGTAAACATGCCCTCAAAGGAACTGAGTCTTTGCTGATAGAATGAGTATGTTTTCTATTCTTCCTTTCTTCATTCAGTTTGAAGTGTTAAATAATAAAGCAGATTGTTTTTCCTGTAAATTTTCCTCAAACTCTACTCTTGACTCATCTGAATAATCCTTATAGAACTGAGTCTTTGTTGAGTGATATGCATATAACTCCTTTAATGGTTTCTCCTATCATCTCTAATCTGGATTCCCAAAAAAGCATGTGGACCTGGTGCTATCCCTGTAATAGTTCTTAAAAAATGTGCTCCCAAACTGGTTTCTGTTTTCTCCAAACTGTACAATAAATGCCTCACTGCTGCTTGCTTTTCTGCTTGTTGGAAATCCTCCTCTGTTGTTCTAGTCTTTAAGAACTTAGGTGAACCATCTGACCCTTCAAACTATCAGCCTTCTACCTCTTTTTTGAAAATTATTGGAGACACTATTGGAGACTCTAATCAATTCTAAATTGGTTAAGCAACTCATGTAGCAGATCCTTTTTTCAGACAAGTACTAATGATTATTGCTGAAAGAGTCTATTAATCTTTAGATAAGAATGGTGAAGCTTGGGCCGTTGCTTTGAACATCTCAAAAGAATTTGACAGGGTTTGGCATACTGATCTTCTTCATAAGTTGAAAAACTATATTTCTACGTGAATTTTTGGACTGATTCAGTCTTTCATGTCAAATCACAAAATTGAAAGTTGTCCTGAATGGTCATTCTTCTAGGTCTTTTTGTACTAATGCTGGTATCCCTCAGGTCTCTATCCTTGGATCTACTTTGTTCTTAACTTTCATCAATGACCTTCCTGATGACATCAGTTCTCAAATTGATATCTATGCATCTATGCTGATGACACAACCATTTACTCTTGTCTTGATACTAAGTTTGATAAGGTCAAATTGGTAACTGATCTAAAAAATGACCTACTGTCTGTTGTTAACTGGGACAATGAATTACTCATTAACTTTAACAACTCCAAAATGAAACTTCTCTCTATAAATCACCTGAAAATTTTCTTCATGGCTGACATTAACCTTCATGAGAGTGATTCATTGTCTTCTCAGGCTTGCATTCTCAGGTGACATGAAGTGGACAGATTGAATCCATTGCAAGGTTTGCTGCAAAGAAAGTTGGTTCACTGTGTTATGCTAGACAATTTTTCTCCCCAAATCTATCTTGCATATTTATATTCATCTAGTCTGGTGCTTCTGCTATACATTTAGAGATTCTAGATAAAATCTAAAGGAAAATCAGTAATATTATTGGTCCTGACCTGGTATCTCAACTTCAGTCACTTTCCCACCACCATAATGTAGCTTCCTTGTGACTTTTCTATCAATACTTTCATGGTAATTGTTCAAATGAAATCTTCACTATTGTACCTAGATTCATTGAAAATGAAATGGTTTCACATTTTAGTTAAGAAATAGTAGTCATTTCATATTTGTGAGTTTTTGTAATTATTTTTTGTCTTTTTTTTGTTTTTTGAGATTTTGTTTTTTTCAGATTTTTATTTTATTTTCTTTGCGTGAAATCTTCAATAATTACAGCTACAACATGACCCATAATAGTTTTTCTGTACCAAAACAAACACTATTCATACCTTTGTTTTTAATTCTCTTAAATTTATGAGTTAATAACATTTTCTTTCAAGAAGAGTTCTCATTTTATTTATTTTTTTCAATATTTGTTTCATTTTCCCATAATTCTTTCTTATTTTCTAGGAGGATGAAGGGGAGTGTTTAAAGACATGTAACTATCTACGTGCCAATGCTGTGACCAAGCCAGGCAGCTGCCCCCAGGCACTTGCAGCTATCGGCTTTGAGGCTGCCTGTATGGAGAGCTGTACTGCCGACACTCACTGCGATGGTCACCTCAAGTGCTGTGCCAATGGCTGTGGCTGGACATGCCAAGAACCAGTGAATCTTGGCACAGGTATTAAACTATTCTCTCCTCTATTTGATAATTATTTCTTCCTTTCTCAACTTTCTTCTCTCTCTCTCTCTCTCTCTCTCTCTCTCTCTCTATCTCTTCCCTTTTCATTTGTCTTTCTTCTAGATTTTCTTGGCTTCTCTTATAATTGCATTTATACCTTTCTTTTGTAAATTCCTTCTCTCTTTTCATTTATCTTTCTTCTAGATTTTCTTGGCTTTGACTCTTATAATTGCATTTATATCTTTCTTTTTCAAAAAAATCTTTCTTCCTTCTCTCTCTCTATCTCATAATTGCTTTTATATCTTTCTCTCTTCTCTTTGATCCCCCTTTCTATTTATCTCTCCTCTTTCTTTTCTTGTCTCTCTCATAATTGCATTTATACCCTTCTTTTTCAACCATCTCTTTTTTTGTCATTCTTTCTTCTCTTCTCTCTTCAATCTCTCTCCCTTTTCTTTGTCTCTCTTCTTGATATTCTCTTTCTTTTTTCTCTTTATCTTTTCTTTTTCAATGTTTTCTCATTTAACCATCTCTTTTTTGTCATATCTTTCTTCTTCTTTTCTTGATCTCTCCCTTTTCTATTTGTCTCTCTTCTTGATATTCTCTTTCTTCTCTTCTCTCATAATTGCATTTATATATTTTATAAAGTTTCTATTTTCATTTCCTCAAATTTTTCAATGTTTTCTCATCTTAACCATCTCTTTTTTGTCATTCTTTCTTCTCTTCTCTCTTGATCTCTCCCTTTTCCATTTGTCTCTCTTCTTGATATTCTCTTTCTTCTCTTCTCTCATAATTGCATTTATATATTTTATAAAGTTTCTATTTTCATTTCCTCAAATTTTTCAATGTTTTCTCATCTTAACCATCTCTTTTTTGTCATTCTTTTTTCTCCTTTTCCATTTGTCTCTCTCTTCTTGATATTCTCTTTTCTTCTCTTCTCTCATAATTGCATTTATATATTTTATAAAGTTTCTATTTTCATTTCTCAAATTTTTCTTTTTTTCTCATCTTAACCATCTCTTTTTGTCATTCTTTCTTCTTCTTTCCTTTTCCATTTGTCTCTCTCTTCCTTCTTTTCCATTTGCATTTATATATTTTATAAAGTTTCTATTTTCATTTCTCAAATTTTTTCAATGTTTTTCATTTCTTTTTTGTCATTCTTTTCTTCTTTCTCTTGATCTCTCCTTTCCATCTCTCTTTTTGATATTTCTTTCTTCTCTTCTCTTTTGCATTTATATATTTTATTTTCTTTTTTCTTTCCTCAAATTTTTTTCTCTGTTTTCTTCTTAACTCATTCTCTTCTCTCTCTCTTGATTCTCCCTTTTCCATTTGTCTCTTTCTTGATATTCTCTTTCTTCTCTTCTCTCATAATTGCATTTATATATTTTATAAAGTTTCTATTTTCTTTCTCTTTTTCAATGTTTTCTCATCTTAACTCTCTTCTTTCTTCTCTCTTTGAATTTGTCTCTCTTCTTGAATTTCTTTCTTCTCTCTCTCAAATTTTTTTTATTCTCATTTCTAAATTTTCAATGTTTTTCTTAACTCTCTTTTGTCATTCTTTTCTTCTTTACTTTCTCATTCTTTCCATTTGCATTTATATATTTTTTCTATTTTCTTTCCTTTTTTTTCAATGTTTTCTCTTAACCATCTCTTTTTTGTCATTCTTTTTCTTTTCTCTTGATCTCTCCCTTTCCATTTGTCTCTCTTCTTGATATTCTCTTTCTTCTCTTTTTTCAATTGCATTTATATATTTTTAAAGTTTCTATTTTCATTTCTTTTTTTCAATGTTTTCTCATCTTAACCATTCTTTTTTGTCATTTTTCTTCTCTTGATCTCTCCTTTTCCATTTGTCTCTCTTCTTGATTTTCTCTTTTTTTTTCTGGTTGCATTTATATATTTTTATAAAGTTTCTATTTTCATTTCCTCAAATTTTTTCAATGTTTTCTCATCTTAACCATCTCTTTTTTTTGTCATTCTTTTTCTTCTTTCTTCTTGATCTCCCTTTTCCATTTGTCTCTTTCTTGATATTCTCTTTCTTCTCTTCTCTCAGTATATTTTCTCTCCAAAACATTCTCTTTTTTTCTCTCTCTCTTTCTCTCTCTCTCTCTTTTCTTCTCTCTCATCCTTGAAATTTTTTATTCTCTTTCTATTAAGATTTTTCTCTCTCCTGCTTCCCTCTTTCTCACTTTCCATTGGATTTTCTACTTCTTTTATTTCTTTCTCTCTATGAACTTAGTCATATCTCTCTTTTTTTCTCTGCTTTTTACTCTTTTTCTCACCTTCTTTCTTTCCTGCTCTGTGTATTCAATATGTCTAATTTTATCTATTTTTTTATCTTGCTCTTCAACCATTTCTTCTCTGTTTTCTTTTCTCCAAAACATTCTAACTTTCTTTCTCTATCCTATATTTCTTTTTGATATCTTCTCTTTCCTTCTTTGTATCTATCATTCTATATGTCTCTCTCTCTCTCTCTTCTTTCTCTTCTATCCATATTTGGTCTTTCTTTATACTGGTCTGTGTTTTTGCTATTCTGATGTGCTTGAGAGAATATTAATTTACTATTGCCTGGCCAAGTTATTAGCGTAAACCATATTGAAAACTTTGCATTTAGGAATCCAGGTATAAATGTCTGAAAGATATTTACTTAAAGTATAAGTACTACTTGTTATAGATGTTTATTTGGTGATAAACAAAGAAGTCAGTGTTAGGACTAATAAGATGGATACCAGCAGCAAACTTATGGTTTATATGACTTTTAAAAAATTAACTTCATCTTTCTATGAAAAACTTAAAGATATATATTTTACATATTTTATTATTGATCAAATTCTATCAGCAATAAATGAGAAATGCTAGTCCCTATAAATTATATATCTACCTGGTTCAAATATTTGCAAAAAGGAGTGACCCTGTACATGGTATATTAAATACCATAGATAATCAAGTAACTTTACCTTGCAAATTTTTGCATCACTTCTTAAAATGTGTATCACCTGTTAGTTTACCTTTTCATGTTTTAGATTGTTGCTGTAATTCTCAACATAAGATTAAATACATTGTGTTGACTCCCTTCAGCAAAATTGGTCTATAATTGTTTGTTATCAAAAAAAACAAAATTGAATATATTTACAAAATTAAAAGCTAAAACATTGTTTTCTTATATTCTGATTTAGTGTCACTATTTAACAAATGTAAACAACACAAAAATAAAATTATTTTATAATGACTTATGAAATTTGAAAGTTCTCAGAAGGCATTCAACAATTTTCAAATTTTCCTCTTGAAACCCACAAAAATAATTTAAACTGCAGAATAATTAAATAAAAAATTTTAAACAAGTTTTGTTAGTTTTAAAATAAACTTGCATAAATAAAAATAGCGTCCCAAATAAATGATTTTGTAGCCTTTAGGATGATACTTCTCTTTTGAATAGATTTAATAGATCAGATATATGGACCATTAATTTTATTGACACTTAATTATTTGTTAATTGATAAATATGAACATTTATGAATATTATTATAATATATAAATATTCATATAGTGTTCATCTTTAACTCATAAATATGAATATTTATAATATATGTATGAACACTTGCATCAAAATAAGCAAGTCATTTCAACTGAATTCTATATCAACCTCCAAATTTTGCTGCACTCACTTAACCTCTAGTTTACATTCAGTATAATTCCACATGGTTTGCAACAGGTTCCAGACAATGCTTTCTTCCTCTGATTCTCATTCATAAAATAAACAACAAAAAAGATTTGAATTTAAAACTTTGATTATTACAGAAATCTAATTATCATAGCCAAATGCCATGAAAATACTTGAAAATATTGTTGTTTCAATAACCAGTCAAGCCAAAAATTTGTGTATAATTTAAACAGAATAAGATTTGGAGAGATGGGCTAGAATTTTAAAATGTTTTAAAGAGCAAGAAGCCTCAATGCTTACAATGCTATAGAGAGAAAACCTTAAACAGACAGATATTAGTTTGTCATTGGTTTTGTTTTCATTTTTTTCTTAATTATGAAGGCTAATTTTTATTTGTTTTATATTTCTAAATTCTGTTTAAATGATTTAATCTGTAAAATATGTTGTCTGAAAACCATTTGTTTGCTGCAGTCTATTGGTTCCAATATCTGAAAGTTGGTAAGTCAAATGTCTGACCATTATAATTAAACAAATAGCAAAAGTAATAACTACATGAGCATTTCTTTTTAGCTTGTTTCAATACTCAGCATAATCCAAGTTTGTGATAAAAAGTACACTCAATATTGAAGATAACAAGTGTATATTCTCTCAAGCAAATCATTTTTATACAAAATGAGTTTGTATTATAAAAATTGAATGAATTAATATTATTATTCTCTCAAAATAAATAAATCATAAAGTTTAAAACCAAAACATTAATAAAATATTTTTATAGTTGATATCAAATAACATTGATAAACAACTTTGAACAGAAACTAATATTAATTTATGTTTTATGTGTAATAATATCTAAAGAAAAATAGTACATAAACTGATACTGCAAATCTCAATCAATAAATCAATCAATCGACATTTTACATACTGTCAAATTCCTAATTTTTAAAACATAACCATGTAATATCAACAACATGTTTTATTACTTAAAAATGTGTATTTGTGAATAAAAATCATGTTTTGAATATATTATTTATATACTTGTAAAATTCAAATTGTTTTTATATTAAAAATATTTAAGTTAAAAAGAAAAAATCACTAAATGTTTGTATTATTATCATCCATATTATTATTTGTTGATTTAATTTTTAATTCCTCTTTTCTACAGAGTTTCTTGCTAACATCTAATTCACTTTTACTGAAGACTCTTCAAACCAACAACCTATTAAGGTGTCCTTGGAGGATGCTCGCATTTTTAAAGGCACACAAAACTATTTTTTTAAATGCAAAAAACATTTTATCCCTCAACAGCAAAGGAGCCACTAAAAAAAGAACCAAACAAGAAACAAAATATGGTTTTCTTTTTTAAAAAAACAAAAATTTAAATGAAAGAAAGAAAACCTTTAATGCCTTTCAGTTATGAAATTACCCATAATGCCCTCTTTCTAATTTAATGAATTTTCTTGCAGTAATTTTCTTGTTTTATACTTTTGTTTTTTGTATTTGTGATGATATTGTATC